AACAGGTTAAGATTTTAGTGATTGGGGAAACATCCACTTGGGTGTCTGTTCCACAGGGCAGTGGTTCATAGGAAAAAGCTGTTTGAGTGGAACCGCACCAATCAAATATGGAGACAATATGGATGTTTTGCTACTATGTAGGTGGTATGGCAGGTCCTAGCTATGAAGATCAAACCTGGTAGAACTAGAAAATGCTGTTCATCTGAGCACTTTCCATGGGAGTAGCAATAGGGCAATGAGAAACTCACTACATTCCACCTGTGAGAGAGAGGTTGGAGTGTGAAATATAATTCTCCTCCAACAAGGACTCAAAGTCACTTTTGAACTCTATCAAGACAGGAAAGTGGGGTCTGGGCAACAGTACTCCATTTTCAGCCTGATCTGGCTCTGATAAAGTTAGAGGATAGCATGAGGAGTCAGATATTTACTGGAGCAGTACAGAGAGCCAATCATTTTACCTGCATATTTAGCGATGGATTGTATATAGGAGTTCCACTTGAGGTCAGGTGTGAGTTTGAGGTGACATCCATTTATCATGACTGGTGGTAGTTCAGGGCCAGATCAGCAGTGATGGAATGTAACCAGTTTGGTTTTAGAGGCATTGAATGTAACCAGCTAGATTTTTCCCCACTGAGAAGTTAATGTTAGATTGGAAGAGAGATCATCTACCAATCTCTGATCATCAAGAGTTTTAGAGGTTTGCCCATATATGGTCATATCAACATGTAAACATATACAAATGATCATAGTATATTCTTAGGTAGATCATTTATGTAAATCAGAAAGAAGGTTGGTCTGAGAAGTGACACCGGGGGGGGGATCTGCATTGTCCAACAGGGCCTCTGAAGACTGGCCATTAATAACTACCTTCAGGGATTTAAGTATTTTATAAGAAAACCCTTCCAGTGATTCCATAACTGGAGAGGTTGTGTAGCAAACCTTTGTGTCACACCTTGTTGAAGGGTTTCAATATATCTAATGCAATGGTCCTTGCAGTATGTGTGTTGTTAAGGGACTCACTAATCCTGTGTGTAATGGTAGTTAGGATGTCAGCAGTGGATTGGGCTGATCAAAACCCACACTGCTGGTCACACAAAAGAGGTTGTTCATATCTAGGTGCTCGGCAACCTTCTTGATTAAGGCCTCAAAAAGCTTACTAATGATACTGAGGAGACTAATGGGGAGGATTGGCCGCCCACATTCTTGAAGACTGGGCATACACTTGCAACCTTCCACATGCTTGGGAAAGATTTCTTCTTCAAGCAGCGGTTAAATAATTTTGGAAGGATCAGGGATAATTTGTTTTGGTTGGTTCGGTGGGAGACTAGTAGGCAGTGAAACAGGCACACATTGGAGATGCATGCATAAATAACCTGTGTTGACTGTTCTGGAGATACTCCTGTAACAGTACCCATCCTCATCATGGTATCAAGAGGTCCCATCAAGACAAATGAAGGTTCTAGAAACCATTCACAAAATGTCAATACATTAGACCTGATATTATACGCCTGCTGATAGCATAGCCTCTTTCAAAATTACTCGAAGGTTCCGATCCCAGACTATCAGGCAGATAACACCAAAACTCCAAAAACGTTTACCTCCAGCATCCTTAATGAGGGGACAAATAACCCAGGAAAGTTTCAGGCATGATAGTCTGAGTGTACATGCCTCATCCACCTAGAGGTCAGAGCAACAGAACTCTTGTTTGGATCAGAAACACCTTAACCAGCCAGATACCTAGGGTACCAAGGCCGGCTAGCTCATATACATGAGGGATAAAAGACCCATTGGACAAAGATGGGTTAATGATTACTCCTGTCACAGACACAAGGCAGGAATTGACAATCATTTTGAGAATTCATTAGACCCAGCTGGGCAGGGGAAAGATTAAGGATAGGTGTGATAGCTATAAAGTTTTAACTCAGCATAAGTCCTAAGGTTCCTCTTTGAAAAGCGTACAGATTTGCTCACAAGACAGTCTACCACTCCAAAACAAATTCACAAAATGGCAATACAATAGACCCGATATTATACATAAATCAGATTAATGAGGGGACAAATAACCCAGAAAAGATTCAGGCATGATAGTCCGAGTGTGCATGCCTCGCCCACCTAGAGGTCAGGGCAACAGAACTCCTGCTTGGGTCAGAAACACCTTACCAGCCAGATACCAAGACAAAAGAGCAAAAGAGATTGTTGAACACATACATTAGGACTAGCCAAGTTTTTGGTGGATTCTTGACCAAAGTGTTGCCAACAGAGAATAACACTTTCCATGGAAATAGTGATAGAGAAGCCCAGAGGCTGGTGATGTTTCATCTGTGGAAAGGGGTTTTAGGATGGAAAATAATTCATCCCCCCACAAGGATGCATTTGAACTCTATTGAGACTGGAAAGTGAAGACCAAGCAACCCCTGCCCATATATAGCAGCAGTTTTCCATTTTCAGCCTGAGCTGACTCTTGTAGAGGGAGAGGATTGCAGGGGGAGTCAGATACTTACTGGAGTGGTACAGGGAACCAACCATTCCTCCAGCATCTTTAGCGATGTATCCTATGCATGTTCCACTCGAGATTTGAATTGCGTTTGTCACAATAGCACTCAAGGCACAGAGCCTCCTTGAGATAGCAACCATTTCATTGCAATAGATAAAAATTCAAGGTTGGCTCTGAAGAAGGTCTATGACATACAGGATCTCTGGTTAAAGGACAGACTGCCAAACTTCATAGATAATTTCCTGTCAAATTTCATGTAGGCTCTCACCCCTCTGACTTTCACTAATTAGTTGAAGGCTCTCCAGAAGGAAGCATTTTTTTCAGTGATTTGATTTAGCATCAAGATTAACAATATTGTTTAATGTCTAAATCCAGGAGTTAACTACTCTATCAATGATTTTTTGATATGCTACAGATCAAAATGCATCACACAAGCAAGTATCAATACAGAAATAAAATAAACATGAAAGACTGGTTTTAAATTTTCAAAAACAATATATTTTCATTTTTGTCAGGTGAGAAAACATTCTTCTAACTGCCATGTCTCTTCAGGATTAGGAAATCATGGCTCTCCACAATTTCCTGTCTTTTGTAGCTCATAGTAAATTTTGTCTAGGAAATTGTGGAGAGCTATGATTGCCAACATCCTGAAGCAAGATGTTTTATAGAAGATGAATTTGTTCAAAATGAGAATACAATTGCTTCATTTATGGATTAGCTAGAAAATCTTATTTGAAATTGATCAATATGATCCACCATAAAGTTTTGGGACTTGTTTACAGGTATTTTAAAACATTTCTAGTGGTAGGCCTATACACAGAAACTCAAAGCACTGTTAAATATGAAAAACAAATACAATGATACCATGTAAAACTCAAATCCTGTTCATCCAACCATATCTTATGATTGCACCTTTAATCCATAATACAAGTGGTTAAGTAATAGATAGTGGCTCAGATTGAGGAATTGGAGAGCTGAGTTTAAATTCCAGTGGAATCCATTACATTCACTTACATGCTAATACCCTTGGGAAAGGTATGAATCTCCCTCCAGCTGTGGGTAAATAGCAGAACAGACCTTGGACGGCAACTGGTCTACTGCAAAAAATAATGGCAACCTACTGCTGGAAAAAATCTGCCTTGTCAGTCATATATCGAAAGATACATGATCACCTAAGCATGTATCACACATGGCACATAAATGACTGATTCAAAACAAAATAAAATGCAACCTTCAAACAGAACCCATCTTTGAAGAATCAAAAATTTCACTTAGAAGCATTCGCACAATCCAATCAAATACTTACACACCTGATGCCATCCAGCCAAATGCCCACCAACCAGAATGATTCGATCCAACCAAAGGCCCGAAAAGCATGAAGCCATCCAGCTAAAGGTCCAGTGACAAGCATGATGCAACCCAACCAAAAGCCCACCAACATACATGATGACATCCAGCCAAATGCCAAACAACCAGCATGAAGCATATCCAACCAAAGGCTGACAAGCATGAAGCCATCCAGCTAAAGGTCAATTGACAAACATGATGCAATCCAACCAAAAGCCCACCAACATACATGACTCCATCCAGCCAAATCCTCACAGGTACGATGATGGCTTATGGTCATATAACATTAAAATATTGATTCCCATATGATTCCCAAAATTAAATAACATCAAGCCTGGTCAGTACCTACATGAGTGACTGCTTGGGAATACCAAATGTTGTAAGCTTGGGTGTGCAGGTGGTGTAATGGATAATAGCTCAGAATTGTTAATCAGAGAGCTGAGTTCAAATTCCAGTCAGCTTTGTCATATTCACTTACATGCAAATATCTTTGGGAAAGTTATGAATCCACTTCTTTTCCCCCACCTAAGGGTTAATTAGTAAGACTTGTATTGCTAAACCATTATTATCTCTAAAAATAAAATAAAATTGCATATTTAGATTTCAGCATTAAATAACCCATAGAGGTGTTGGTGGGTAGTTAAAAAACAACCAACCAACAATCACAGGTATGATACCATTCTGCTGAATGCTCACTCACTAGCATGATACCATTCTGTCACAAAATATTAAAGTTTCAATACAATGTGATGTTTTCTTTCTCATGCCATCTTACACTATTTTCTTATTGATTACACATTCAACGAGCACACAAAATGCAGTTTCTGTATAATTTCTTCTTTGCTTTCCAAACTAAATCCATTCACCTTGTGGCAATAAAATAAGCACATCCCATCTCCTCTCTTGCTTGTAACCATCTATCACAATAAAATAAACGTTTTTCAGCACTAAAGCTCAATGAGTCAAATAAAGCTTCTACTTAGAGTTGTTATTATATTACACACCTGAAAAGCATTCAGTAATTTACATACAAATTGAAATTTGCCTACATCTGCATACACACACTTGGAACCAGGACCATATTTTAGCTCTGTATATTCTTGTTGACTTTTGCTTCTGTGATAGTAAAACTTTGTTTGTATTTTTTTTTTTTTTTCAGAATTAGCCAGCCAAAGTCGCAAAAAATTAAACACTGTTGAAATTGAAAAATTAGAACTTTCCAGCAAGATGAATTCTGAGGTAAGATGGATCAGCCTCTGGGTGTGTATGTGTGTGTTGACTCATATGCATTTTTGTCCTGCTACCCACAGTAGGCATTGAAGAATGTGTTTGTTTAACACCATATTAACTCTTTATGGGTTATTTAATGCCAAAATTCAATTTTCTTGGGAGTTTTGAAGTAATAAAAATGTCATTCTTCTTTCACCATTAAGAAAGAGGATAGGACAGAAAAGATCACCTTGAGGTACACTGGCATTGATCTCATGGGTTTCAGAGAACTGACCATTAACAATGACCTTCATGGACCTATTTGATAAGGAGTTGCAAATCATGGAAAACACATGGTAATATACATGTATATGCATGCCAAAATTTTTTGTTGGTCTATATGAGTTGCATTGTTGATTTTTGTTTGGAACTTTTTGGTGGCTATCATCCATTCTCCCTAGTTTGTTGGTTTAATGGCATATAAAATCCTTATGGATTATTTAATGCTAAAATTTAATTTTCTTAGGAACTTGGAAGTAATGCAATTATGACATGTTATTCTGCTTTCACAATTGAATACATGGTAAATGATACTCAGCTTTTATGCATATACATGTTTGTATGGACATAATTACTAGAGCTGGTGATATATGTGTTTTATATTGTAGTTTTGTTGAAGTTATATTTTGGAATACAGTTTGATTTCTTTAAGAAATTGTAGGAGATTATATGGATTAATATCATGAAAGAGTTCTTTCATATTGGTTGATTTTGTTTAGCAGCATATCAGTCTTTATGGTTTATTTAATGCCAAAATCTAAATATTTTGAATGCATTTGTATGCCTTCAACTACAGATAAAATGTATTGTTGGTCATTTTGCTATAAATTGGTATTGTTGGTCTTTTTGATAGAAAAATGTATTGCTGCTATTTTTATACTTTTATAGTGTTTTGCTTTTGCTTGGGTGTTCACTAATTGCCCATAGATGGTGCTACCACTCAGGGTCAGGGTGAACCTGGTATTATATAGAAATAAAGTGTCACTGATGACACTTGAGTTTGAACATAGATCACCAGTGAGCAAACACAAGTGATCCAATCATTGAATTAAGTGGGTCACGTAACCATAGAGGAAACGCATATATAGGAAGTCACGTGACGTATAGATTGATCACTATTTCTTCTCTATCCTTTATTACTACACGGACCACTATTCTCTTCTCTATTCACTATATTATTTCTCTGTTCAGATTACTATTCCAGTGAGTATTATCGAACAAGTACTATTAGTGCAATTGATATTTGAAGGCGTCTGACACAAGCATTGGTCAACAGTGTACTATAGTTGTATTTGCGATTACAAAGTCTCTACTACAGCAAGTGTTACAAAAGTGACAAGTATTTATTAACATCACAAAAGTGGCAACAAGTGTTCACTGACATCACAAAACCTGGGAAGAACAGAAATTAAGAGGTGTTTCCACACTCCAAAAAACCTCCAATCTCCCAATCAGAGGCCTTGCTGTCGGATGTAGTTCTTCCTGAAGAATGTAACAGACATCAAAGTTAAAGTCAAAAGGAGGAGGAAAATCAAAGTCAAAACAGATTCTGCCAAAGACACATGACTTGTATATCCTGAGTAATATGTGAAAATTTAAATAAATAAAAGCAGAAAAGTTAAAAAGTGAGAATTCCTAGGAGCCATATTATAGGCATTTACATGTTGGTTAACCAACTTGGCTTCACCGAAAATGTCTGTTAGGTGGTGTTATTTAAGTGTACAAAAAGGCAAGCATATTCTCTCTTTTCCCTCTTGCATCCAGATGTAGTTGAATGTTGATAAAGAACACTGGGGCATGTTTGCTTCTTTGGTCCTCTATTGACTGAACTCTCATACACACGTACATTCACACATGTATTACACACACACAAACAAGCACATTCTTATAGTTTTAATGTATTTTCCTTTGATTTCAATTGTGTACACATAGAATTACTTTTGTTAATACATGCATATAATTGCTGTTTGTTTAAATTTTTTTATGTGGTCTTATTTTACGTGGACTCACATGAGTCCATCAATATTGTTTGTGGGACCTATGATTATTTACTGTAAAACATCAACACACTCATATCAAAAGTATTGAATGCCACAACTAAGTGGTGACTTATTTTTAACCAAACATCATAGAATCCTGCAACATACATATATGCTGAAGAAGAAATAATAATCATATATATCACTTAAATAATGTCATTTCTCAAGATGCCTTTAAACGCCAGTATAAAGTAATGGTCTTTATTCATGGCTCTCCACAACTTCCTGTCTTTTGTTGCACTAAGTAACTTTCAACCCTTTATCATTCCTCTTTGTTCTACAATTCATTCATGTAACTTCATTAAGTAAGTTACTCACTGTTTCTCTTTGTCTCTCTTTCATTATGTCTAGTGAGTGTGAAATTCTCCAGGCCTTCTTTCCTCATTATATTTCTCAGAAATTATGGTGATTCTATGCGAGGAACAAGCAGGTCCATAAACTCTTTCGACTTTTGTCTAACCTCAAGTTTATCACCCCACCTTTTATACATCTTAATATAAAAGGGCAATTAATATATATCTAAATAAACTTAGATTTCCATAAAAATCCCACAAAGTATCCAAACCATAGTTAATTACCATAAGGTTTGTTTGTCCCATTTGACAGTTGTGGTGATTACTTGTGACAACCTTGTCATTGTTACTACTACTACTACCACTACACTAAAAAACTGATTTAGTATATTGTAACGTATTATAACAATATTTTTTTTTAAAATAATTCCTGAAAGTTGTATAAATCAGTAAGGTGAAGCATAAAAATTAAAAAGAATTCTCTTTACATTCCCTTTGAGTTTTGCATGCACTTTTACATACACACACATTAACACTGCCTCCCAGGTGGTTCCTGCCCATTACCTGCTGATTGCGAGGAGCCCCACTGGTTACCTACAGACCTTAACACTAGTTGGTTACAAACTCTAATTTATTACTTATTTGAATTCAGGTTTGTTTTCTTCAAAAGTAAAAATTGTCTTTGTAAAGAAATTTAAACTTTAGCTAAAAAAGCTAAAGTTTAGATTGCTGTACAAAGACAGTTGTTTGCATGTTGTTTTCTCTAGAATTCCTCTTACTTATCTGATGATGATAAAGAAGGCCTTAGGGTGCAATATTTGAAACATTTTTACTATAACAACCAAGATGAGGATACCAGTTTGAAGAAATCCATGTCTAATAAGGATATTTATTCTATAAATAAAAATTGTAAAAAATTAAAGAGTGAAATATTAACTACCCCCCCACCATATAACAACATGGCTTAAACTGTATTGATTTTTCTATGTCCACAAATGCTCTATCTCTGATATTGAGCACTCTTTCCTGTAAACATGACAAATCTTAATCTTATTAGATAGTGTAAATATCAAAATCAACACAGCATCATGACTTTATATTTTGTGCCTCAAGCAGTATTCAAAACCATGTTGATATGGACTGAAGATCATTTGTGTTGGGACATTGACAATCACTCTGCAGTGTTGATTTCTATATCTACATTATTTGTATCTATATTATCTAATCTGTCTATATTTCTGAAATGAGGCATTGTAACTATATTATCTACCCTGGTGGACAAAATTAAGGGTTTGGTTTGAAATACCAATGTATATCACCTGAAGAATGTTGGGGCATACAATGCCTGAAACGTCATGAATATGACAATAAAGACAACAGTTCGAACAATGTAAATAATGTAAATCTATATCTACAAAAGCTCTCTTCAGTAATGAGCACTCTTTCTCTACAAATACAACAAATTTTAAACAAAGTGCTCACACAACAAACTCCTTCAGTAACTTTTGAGTGTCTCTTGAGCCTTGTATAGAATGAACATTAGTAAAAAAAAAAAAAAAAAAGATACTCCTAACTCAAACCAAAGCAAGATTTCCCAGGTTTAGATCCTTGTTTTCACAAGATGTGATGATACAATTAATATTACACACACACACATATACAGGGTGTATCAAAAAATAATTTTCCAAACTTTGGGAGCAAGTACCTCACACCAAAACAGACAAAAGTCCATATAGATGTATATCTACAAATCCCTTGTTTTTGAGTTATTAAGTTTAAAGATTACAGCAGACACAGTTAAATGTACAATCCAAGATACAATCCCAAAATACTTTTATAAACTTTGGGGCAGGTTCCTAACACCAAAACAAGTTAAAATGTTCATATAAATATGTGTCCAAAAGCCATCATTGTAACTCAACATAGCAACTCATAACAAATGTTTAAAATATCCTGCCCTTTAACCTGTTGGATCATTGACTGGTAGACCCTTTAAAATACTCCCACACAGTGTTGAATGGTTTCGCAGCCCCCCTGACATGTTGATGAAGCGTCTCTGCATTATTAATGTCTGCTTCATAAACCAATTGCTTTAAATGGCACCACAGAAAAAAAATTCAAAGTATTGAGGTCAGGGGAACATGCAGGCCATGGATCCAATCCTCCCCTACCTAGCCATCTTTCATGGACTTTTGTCCTTGTTTTGGTGTGAGGAACACACCCTGAAAGTTTATAAAAATATTTTTGATACACCCTATATAAATAAACGTGTGTGTGTGTGAGAGAGAGAGAGAGAGAGAGAGAGAGGCTTACATACAGCTGCAGATTGTCAAAGCAACTTGATTCTTCTGTTTGCAATTCAAATTGGCTGCAGAGTGTATATAGGTGCACACTTGCAGAAATGACTATGGTTCATTGGAATCAAACAGAGAAAAGCAAACACCACCCTTATGGATATCAAAGCATCAACTGACTTGTTGAGCCATTGGATCTGGCTCAAATGAAATGTTGAAAGCTGGCTGGGGAAAAGATCCTCTGAAAAAAAAAATGCAAAATAGTCAACAGGCAGTAAACCAGTTGAAGTTGTGGGGGTCTCACATCAGTGAGGTGGAGACAATTCAGAGTAAAATCTATTGAG